GTAAGTCTAATTCTTTCACCAGGTAGGGGAAGTTTTCTGTCACTATTTCTTTCAGTATGTTTTTGATATCTTGCTCTCTCTCATCTTCTGGGACCCCCATAATTCTGATGTTGGTTCGCTTGAAGTTGTCCCAGAGGTTTCTTACATTATCTTCAATTTTCTGGATTCTCTTGCCTTCTAGCTTCTGTGGAGGAGTGTCTTCTGGCTCTTTATGTTCCAAATCTTTGACTTGATTCTTGTGATCTTCCATTCTGTTTTTAGGACTCTGCATAATATTTTTTTTTATTTCAGACAATGTATTCTTTATTTCTTGTTGATCCCTTATCATTTCTTGTTGATCCCTTATCATTTCTTGTTGATTCCTTATTAATTCTAGTTGATCTCTTTTCATATCCTCATAGGTCTTATCGGTCTTTTCTAGGAAATTCTTGAAAAATCTTATAAGCGTAGATTTGAACTCTATATCCAGTCGCTTTTGTCCTCCATTTCTTTCGTTTGTGTTCTATTTCGTTGTCACATTTCGCAGCTACAGATGGGGCGGAGTTTCAGGGTGGAGCCTACAGCCTTGGCTTCCGTCAGCCCCGCCCTATGCGGTTCCTGGGTCTCAGGGTCCTTCAGTACTCACTGCAAGCGTCTCTGAGAGAAAGGTGCCCTCGATTTTCGCCTGCTACCAAATAGTCTAGCCTCTCCTGCAATGAGCCCGGCACTGGGGTTCAGTTCAGTTGGAAGTGGAGTTGGAGGTGGCGTTCAGGGCAGTCTGGAGCCCCAGTCTCCTTCCCGCCAGGGCAATCCCGCGGCACAGCCAGCAGTCCCTTCTCTGCGCGCAATGTGCGCACAGCAGGGACCTCCTTTCACCGCTCCCCCGGGGTTCTGCCTTACAGCCCAGCTCCCTCTGGATGAGCCTGGGTCCCCAGGGTCTGGCCTAGAACTGGGTTTCAGAGCAGTCAGAACTGGGACCCAACACCATCGGAGCTTTTATCTCCTTCCCACTAGGAAATGCCAGCCAGGCACTCAGCCTCCCTCCTCTCCAGCTCCGTCCTCTCCACGCGCACCGCGCGTCTCCAAATCTTAGGCTCTTACAGCTCCTCCGCGCTTCCTTCTGGTTTTCTTCTTGCTTCTTGTTGTAGAATTTCCAGTCAGTCGACTTTCTGTAGTTCTGGGTAATGTCCATTTTATATTTTAGTTGTATTTTATTGAAATTGTTGTGTGCGGCTGCGGCTAGGTGTTTACCTGGGCAGCCATCTTGGATCCTTCTATCCATAGCCAATTTTTTAAAATATTTTTTTACAGAGAGAAAGGGAGAAGGATAGAGAGCTACAAACATCGACCAGCTGCCTCCTGCACAGCCCCCACCAGGGATGTGCCCACAACCAACGTACATGCCCTTGACTGGAATCGAACCTGGGACCTTTCAGTCCGCAGGCCAACGCTCTATCCACTGGGCAAAACCGGTTTTGGCCCACATAGCCAATTTTTTTTCTTAATATATTTTATTGATTTTTTTTTTTTACAGAGAGAAGGAGAGAGGGATAGAAAGCTAGAAATGTCAATGAGAGAGAAACATCGACCAGCTGCCTCTTGCACACCCCCTACCGGGGATGTGCCCGCAACCAATGTACATGCCCTTGTCCAGAATCGAACCTGGGACCTTTCAGTCTGCAAACTGACGCTCTACCACTGAGCCAAACTGGTTTCGGCCCATATCGTCAATTTTAAGCTACTACTGAATGTGCAGCTGGGATAAGATACACAGTAGCACACCATTATGTGGGATTTCTACCACACAAATACAATGAGCATGACCTCAAGAACATAGATAATAATAAAGTGTAGTGAAGTACAAAAGAAATGATGAGTTTGGAATATTTTTACCTTTGTTTTTAATATAATTTATTTAATGGTAAGCTTTATAATTCAATTTTTAAAAAATATATAAATATTTTATTGATTTTTCTACAGAGAGGAAGAGAGAGGGATAGAGAGAAACATCGATGAGAGAGAATCATCGATCAGCTGCCTCTTGCACACCCCCTAAGGTACATGCCCTTTACCGGAATCGAACCCAGGACCTTTCGGTCCGCAGGCGGACACTCTAGCCACTGAGCCAAACCGGTTTCGGCTATAATTAAATTTTTAGTGACTTTTAGTAGATAATTAGTTCATAAAATTTCTTAAAATTTAATAGTTGGCTCTCAAGAGACAGTGTAAGTTAGCTCCAGCAAACCGCTGGCGCCACCTCAGCCCTAAGAAATAAGGTCCTCTGAGACAGAGACCCAGGAATTTTGCATATTTAATATCTCCCAAGATGGTCTGAGGTAAGATGCCAGCAGAAAATCTAATTACTTTTTTTTTTCTATTTAGCTAATAAGTAGGTAATCTTCAGAGGCAACATGTTCCAGGGATGGAGTGCAGGGTTAGGCATTAGAGCACTACGGTTCTCACTCTAGTTATGCCATTAATTATATGGCCTTGGGCATATCACTAACCCTCTTAGTTTCCTAATCTAATAAGAAAGGAATGGGACTAAGAAGGGATTAATAGATGTAATTTTAAAAAGATTTACTTACATACTGAAGTATTTGTGAGTTTAATGATCTGCTATCTATGATTTGCTTTAAAATGCTTCAGGAAACAGAGAAAGAAAAAAACTGTTGGGCTAAGAGGTAGATAAAATAAGCTTGGCAAACTGTCTTTGTGATGAGAACATGAGGATTTCTTACACTATTCTCTCTACTCTTGAGTATGTTTGAAATTTTCTATAATAAAAATGCTCTGAAAGTCACTAATAATCTCCTATCTTTAAAAATATGTTTCAGATCAATTAAATAATATGTATGCAAATTGGGGATATTGAGACATTTTTGTTAACTTTCTATTTTGTTTTCTAGAGTATCCAAATTGCAAAAGCCCAATATTTGAAGGTTGTAGAAAGATTTAAAAATTCATGACTATGATAGTAAATGTATGAAAATTGCATTTGTTGATTTGGTATTAAACTAAGACAGCAAAAAAAAATTGTAATGTTTCACTTCACCCTTGGGTTTCTAAATTGTTTAATGTGACAGGGGTTGGGATCAGAAATTAGCATCTCTTTGGGATTTAATGCTTAGGAATCTAAATCTGCTTGGAAGTCGCAGAACAAATGAATGGCTGAGCCACCAGGGTCCAAAATCCATGCAGTCATTTGAGCTAAATAGTACTAGGCAACATTTAGAACTTTTACATTGTGGATTTAGTAATTTTTTATTCGTTCTAATTATTAAAAAATTATAATATTAATAAGGCTACTAAAAATTTTCAGTTTAGGAATTTTAGGTCCCTCTTGTATAAATCCCGTACAATAAAATTAACTCTATAAACATCAATTAAAAGACAAATTATTGGATTAGAATAATAAAAAAGGAAGCAAGACCCAATTACATGCTAATTAGGAAAAAAAACAACAACTTGAAAATGTACTATGCAAACTGTAACCGAAAGACAGTAGGAGTGACTGTATTAATATCAAAAATAGACTTCAGAACAAGGAGTATTGCCCAGGATACAGAGGGTTATTACATAATGATAAAGGAGTCAGTTGCCAAGAAGACAAAACAATCCTAAATGTACACACTGTACAACAGAGGTTTAAAATACATGAAGTAAAAAAACTGATAGAACTGAAAGGTGAAATAGAAAATTCCACAATCCCCGAGCCCACAAAGTCTAGCAGCTAAACCCCAGTCTCACATGAACTGGATCTTCAGAAGGGCGCTAAAGTAGTCTCCCTTTAGTAGCACCTTCTGATACACACCAGAAGGTGAAAATTATTTCTTAAGAAAGCATCCTTTATTTTGGCCCTCAGGATTGCAAGTGATTAAAATCAACAAAATCTGCCCTAGCCAGTTTGTCTCAGTGGATAGAGCGCCATCCCATGGACTGAAGGGTCCCAGGTTTATTTCCAGCCAAGGGCACGTACCTCGGTTGCAGGCTCAAGTCCTGGCCCTGCTCAGGGCACATGCAAGAAGCAACTAATCAATGTGTCTCTTTCACATCGATGTTTCTCTTTGTGTGTCTTTCCCACTTCCTTCCATTTTCTATAAATAGACATTTATCTTTTCTATAATTAATAAATAAACCAAATCTGAGCTCACAGTGCAAGATCACCAAACATATAGGGAAATTAGCCACCATGAACAAAGGCTCAAAAACAATAAACTTAGAACTCCAAGAACTTCAGCATTGGAATTAACAGACACAGAATACTAAATTAATTTGTATGAAGAGGGAAAACTGAAGTACAAAATGAGCAATGAGAGCACAACAAAACATAAAAATGAGCCAATACTTTTTTTTAAATAATCAAATAATCAAAAATAACTTTAAAATATAATCATTAGCTCTAAAGCCTCAATGGATGGGGAAAATGGCAGAACAGATAGTTGAAAAGAGAACTGGCAAACTTACGGATAGGTTAGAAGGGACAGCACAGGTTGCTGCAGAGAGACAAGGAAATAAAAAAAAAAAATGTGCCATGATGAAAATCATGAGAGGTGCAGACAAATGACTTGAAAGAAGTGGTCAATAAATTGATTCCAGATTGCGTTGGAAGAGACATAGAAAATGCTTCCCAATCTAGTATCTGCTCTTTTCTGTCTTTGTTAGAAAAGTCAAAATGCTGAAAAAGTCCAAGTTTGAATTGGGAGAACTCATGGAGCTTCATGGTGAAGGTTGCAGTTCTGGAAGAGTTGCTGTGAGACGGGTTAAAGTTGAACAAGAAGAAAGATATGAGCCCCCAAATTCAAGAATCTATTCAAAAGTCAGGACTTTCAATGGTAACATATAAAAATAAAAAAAAATCCTATTTGTGATTAAAAAAAAAAAAAAAAAGGTTCTGTTTCCAAATCCGGTCCCATTCCAAGGTGCTGGCAGTTAGGACTTCAACTATAAATCTGGGAGAATACCATTCATCCCAAATCAAACCCAGATGTACGGCAGTCACAGAGCAGATAAAGTTTGGAATACTCACCTGGCAGGGAGGATGCCATGATCACAAGGGTGGCTTTCTCAGGACGAAGCTTATCCATTGCACTTCGGATGTGCTGGCCCCTGGGATTTCCCCAAATGTGGGAAACTCAACTGCTTAATTTGTGGTAGGAGACTGTGTTTCCACTCTCCCCTAAAAAAGAAAAGAAAGAAAGAAAGAAAGAAAGAAAGAAAGAAAGAGAGAGAGAGAGAGAGAGAGAGAGAGAGAGAGAGAGAGAGAGAGAGAAAGAGAGAGGGAGGGAGGAGGATGGGAGGGAGGGAGGGAAGGAGAGGAAGGAACGAAGGAAGGAAGAAGGCAAGGAAGGAGGGAGGGGAGGGAGGGAGGGAAGGAAGGAAGGAAGGAAGGAAGGAGGAAGGAAGGAAGGAAGGAAGGAAGGAAGGAAGGAAGGAAGGAAGGAAAGAAAGAAGGAAGGAAAGAAGGAAGGAAGGAAGGAAGGAAGGAAGGAAGGAAGGAAGGAAGGAAGGAAGGAAGGAAGGAAAGAAGGAAGGCAGGAAAGAAGGAAAGAAGGAAAGAAGGAAAGAAGGAAAGAGTTCAGAATAATTACTCAAAGAAATATTACACACAGCAGTAACACGAATGGTAACAACTACATGGGATAAGATGGATAATGTTTATTGGAAAAGCAAGTCATAAAAGACTAATTCCATTATACTATTTTTACATAAGAAAAAAACAAATCTAAAAGAATATAACTTAGGGATGTGTACATATATGTTGCTATTTTTAAAAGACCAAGGTATGATAAATATAAAATTCAATATAACAAATTTTTGAATTCTTCTTGGAAAGAAGTAGAAGAATGGAACTCAGGAGTATCCCACAGTATTGATCATGTTCTAATTCATAAATTGGGTGGTGAGCATTTAATAAACCATTACTTATACATACTTCTATCATCGTATTCATAATATTCATATCTATAAAATGTGAAAGTATATAATTATTTTTATATATTATTTAGTATTTATCAAATATTACCTAATAATATTAAGTGTTAAAAATCCCTCTTATGATAACATATCTCATGTAAATCTATTTAGAAATGGATGTTAATTCATTTTTATTATTTCGCAGTAGTCCTAATTTTTTGTTATATTCTTAGAATAATTTAGTGGAGGTGTAGAATTATAAGAACTCTTTGTAGATAATAGAATGTGTCTCTGGCACATGATTATCCACATATCAGACTCTTCTCTTTTTGTGCAGTTCAAATTTAATACATTTGTGATTTTATCTCAGGCATAGTGATAGCATAGCCAGAATCTACTTCTTTTCATCTCCTTATCCTTGTAAATTAATGGTTGTGATAGTATAATTATACTGATTACTTTTTTTAGAGCTGCTTTCTCAGCCTCAGCGCTATTGACAATTTGGGCCCATAATTCTTGGCAATGGGAAACTATCCTGTGCCAGTGTAGGAAGTTTAGCAGCGTCGCTGGCCTCTACCACTAGATGTCAGTAGCACACCCCTAGCCCAACCCCCAGGCATGACAATAAAAAAAATGTCTCCAGGCATTGTCAAATGTCTCTTGGGACAAAAACCACCCTATTTTGCCGGGACTGGTTTGGCTCAATGGATAGAGCGTCAGCTTGGGGACTGAAAGGTCCTGGGTTCGATTCCAGTCAAGGGCATGTACCTTGGTTGCGGGCACATCCCCAGTGGGGGTGTGTGCAAGAGGCAGCTGATCCATGACTCTCTCTCGTCGATGTTTCTAACTCTCTATCTCTCTCCCTTCCTCTCTGTACAAAGTCAATAAAATATATTAAAAAAAAAAAAAAACCACCCTATTTTAGAACCACTGTTCACTGTTCTAAAATAGAACATTCGTGATTCAAATAACACTTAGATTCCCCACACTCTAATTTTTTCGTATCTACTTCACTTTCATTTCATGCCAAATATATCCATTTTGTTCCTTAATATAGAATCTTAGTGAACTACCAAAACAATGCTGACCACAGTATCACATTCAAACACTTGTAATTACTGGGTGCATGGGTGGTTCAGTGGTAGAATTCTCGCCTGCCAAACACTTGTAATAACTGAATTTGATATTTTTAATGTTTTATTCACAAAGGGGTGTGGATGTAGAATGAAGAAAAAGCACCCGAGTTTCTCTCTGTTGTCCTGGTAACAAACCTTAAACTTTAATTTTCTATAGCTGTAGACAAATACATGCTTTAATTTAAATTTTTCCAATTATGACATGAGACTGTAAAATACATGCAGAATCTTTTCTTCTTACTTTTTTTACATAAAGCTCCTTGTATTTTTACAATAAGCCCATCATTCTTAAAATATATTTACCAAAAAGAAAATTATTGGCTCAAGATTATGAAGAGTTTTAGAGCTCTTGAATGTATTGCCTTTACCAAAGGGTTGTACCAGTTCACACCAGCATCATAACTGGTTTGAAATAGTAATATCACTTAGTACATAATACTACTAAAACAATAAAACTTTTTCCAACCACCTTGAACCATGGTTGGCAAACTGTGGCTCTTTGGCCCCTTGAGTGTGGCTCTTCCACAAAATACCACAGCCTGGGCGAGTCTATTTTGAAGAAGTGACATTACAAGAAGTTTAAGTTTAAAGAATTTGGCTCTCGAAAGAAATTTCAATCATTGTACTGTTGATATTTGGCTCCGTTGACTATTGAGTTTGCCGACCTTAAAGATATTGGCTTTCTCAGTTCTTTGGAATGCTTTCCAATATCTAGAAACTTAATTCTAAAAGCCCAATTTCTAGAAGGAAATTTTTTCAACACAATACACAAAAAACTGACAGATAACATCACACTCAATAATGAAAGGTTGAAAGTTTACCCCCAAATCAGGAATAAGACAAGCATGCCCACTCTTGCCACTTCTATTCAACATAGTACTGGAAATCCTCCCAGAGCTATTAAGTGCCGGGGGCAGGGGTGGGGGGGGAGAGCGTCCAAATTGGAAAAGAAATAAAATTATCTGTTTGAAGATGATATAGTCTTATATGTAGAAAACTTGAAAGACTCCATCCACACAAAAACCTGTTAGAACAAAGTTGCAAAATATAAAGTCCACCCACAAAAATCAGTTTTATTTTTATACATGATCAATGAACAATCTAAAAAGAAAATTAAGAAAATAATTCCATTTACAATAGCATCAAGCAGAATAAAGACTTTGAGATAAATTTAACCAAGGAGGCAAAAGAGTACATTGAAATTATAAATCAGTCCTGAAAGAAATTAAAGAAAATATAAATAAATAGAAAGACATCCTGTATTACTGGAATGGAAAATTTAATATTGTTAAAAATGACAATACTATCCAATGTAATCTACAGACTCAATGCAATCCCTATCAAAATCTCGATGATGTTTTTTGCAGGAATAGAAAAATCCAACTTAAAATTCATATGGAATCTCAAGGGACCCCAAATAACTAAAATATTCTTTAAGAAAAGAACAAAGTTGGAAGCTCTCACACTTCATTTCAAAACTTACTACATCCCAGCCAGTGTTGCTCAATGGGTGAGTGTAAACCCAGGAACCAAGAGGTCACTGGTTCAATTCCTGGTCAGGGAACAAGCCCAGGTTGTAGGCTCAATCTCCAGTAGAAGGTGTGCAACAGGCAGCCGATTAATGATGTTTCTCTCCCATCGATGTTTCCATCATCTATCTCTCCCTACTTCTTTACCTTCCTCTCTTATCTAAAAATCAATAGAACATATTTTAAAATTTTACTACAAAATTTTGGTAATCAAAAGAGTGGGGTACTGGCAAAGTACAAAAACTTTACAATATATACCAAAATAAAAACCATACTAAAAACCAGCAGAAAAAAAATGAATTTAGCATTTATTGAGCTTTTAAATAAAGTAGCTTTTTAAAAATGAACGTAATTTTTTAAGCATAAAGGAAAAGATCACCATATGTGGATGCAACAACAACAAAAGCAAAATTAAAGGCTAACAAACAGTACAAAAGACAAAGGTGAATATCTTTGCATCATAAAGAACTTTTATCAAACTCATTTCCACCAAAAAAAAAAAAAAAAAGAAAGAAAGATGAACTCCTAAATTTTACAGGAAGGTCTGGAGATGTACATACTAAACCAGTCCTTGAGGAATTATATTAAGGAGCTGTAGTAAAGGAGATTCTATTTTTATGTGAATTGAACACTGTTTTAATTTTATAATAAGCATATATTATCCTTAATTTTAAAAACATACATTTTTTTCTTAATAAATCTTTATTGTTTAGATTATTATAATTGTTTCTCTTTTCTCCCCCCATAGCTCCCCTTCACCTGGTTCCCATCCTAACCTCTGCCCTTACCCCTCCCACACTGTCCTCATCCATAGGTGTATGATTTTTGTCCAGTCTCTTCCTGCATCTTCCACATCCACTTCCCCCTGAGAATTGTCAGTCCTCTCCCTTCCTATGCCCCTGATGCTATTATATTCACCAGTTTATTCTGTTCATCAGATTTTTTATTCATTTGATTTTTAGTTTCACTTGTTGATAGATATGTATTTGTTATCACTTTGTTGATCATAATTTTATCTTTACCTTTTTCTTCTTCTTCCTCTTCTTAAAGAATACAGTATTCTTTAAGAAATCTTCAGCATTTCATATAATACTGGTTTGGTGGTGATTAACTCCTTTAGCTTTTTCTTATCTGTGAAGCTCTTTATCTTACCTTCAATTTCTTATTTGTGAAGCTCTTTAGCTTTGCTGGGTAGAGTAATCTTGGTTGTAGGTTCTTGCTATTCATCACTTTGAATATTTCTTGCCATTCCTGTCTGACCTGCATAGTTTCTGTTGAGAAATCAGCTGACAGTCATATAAGTACTCCCTTGTAGGTAATTAACTGTTTTTCTCTTGCTGCTTATAAGATTCTCTCTTTGTCTTTTGCCCTTAGCATTTTAATTATGATGTGTCTTGATGTGGTCCTCTTTGGATTCCTTTTTTAGGGGTTCTGTGCACTTCCTGGACTTGTAAGTCTATTTCTTTCATCAGGTAGGAGAAGTTTTCTGTCATTATTTCTTCAAATAGGTTTTCAGTATCTTGCTCTCTCTCTTCTTCTGGCACACCTATAATTTACATGTCAATATGCTTGAAGTTGTCCCAGAGGCTCCTTACACTATC